GTGGATCTCCGTGAGTTCAAGGTCAGCCTAGTCTACAGATTGAGTTCCAGGACAACCAGGACTGTTACACAGAGAAACCTTGTCTCGAAAAACCAAAAAGAAAAATCATTTATGATATCATATGTAGCATGAATGATTAAAAACCCAGAGACCAATGTTGGGGTTCAATCTGAAGATTAGAAAAGCAAAGCAACCAGCCACCTGCTCTACCTCAAAATAAAATGGCGATCCTGCCTCTAGGAATCTCACAATGAGACTGCTTCCGAGAGCTGTTTCCTCCCATCATATATTCCTCTCTAGGGATATGGTTAAAGGCATGCACCTCTACCACCCAGCTTCTATGGCAAACTAGTGTGGCTACTGGGATTAAAGGTGTGTGCCACCTCTGTCTGGTCTGTAAGCCTGACCAGTGTGGCTCTTTTACTCTCTGATCTTTAGGCAAGCTTTATTTATTAAAATACAAATGAAATATCACTATAATCATATAAAATGTTAGTGTTAAGCCAGGCAGTGGTGGCGCATGACTTTAATCCCAGCACTCGGGAGGCAGTGGCAGGCGGATCTCTGTGAGTTCGAGGCCAGCCTGGTCTACAAGAGCTAGTTCCAGGACAGGAACCAAAAGCTACGGAGAAACCCTGTCTTGGAAAAAAAAAAAAAAGAAAGAAAAAAAATGTTAGTGTTATTCCACTAATAAATACATAATATTTTTCTTTTCTAATTTTAATATGGCAAATATGAATAGATGGTCACCCTAAGAATCAAGCTCTTTGGAGTCTTCAATAATTTTTAAATTTTAAAAGATGCGTTTAAGCCTCAGAGATTGAGAAAATAACTTTTCTGTAAAAATGAAACATAATTTTATATGTGGTAGTGTAAACACATGTAAGATGAGTTGGCTTGTTTTGTTTTTAATTTCTTCATTATGGTAATTTTGATTATAAAGCAAGAAACTTCCTGTATTTAGTAAATCTCTGAAACCTTTGAGCCTGGTACTTAGGGTCATTGACATTTGCTTAGCTTTGCAGTTTATTATTTTAGTTATGAAAATCCCTTTTACTTAGTGCTTTAAAATGGTAGATAGTACATCTTTAATCAGTTGTATAAACACATACCCATCTGTTCATTGACAGACAATACTTTGGCCAAAACTTATGTTAGTAAGTATACTTCTGGAATTGGAACTCTTTATCTTAAACAATTTAAGTTTTATATAACATTTTGTCTTCATAATTGATCAAGTTCTTTGGTCTATTCTATATATTAGGTTTAAAAATAGATTTTTGTGATTAAATGTACTGACTCAGTACTAATAAGTTATAAGACTTTAATTTTGAAATTAATGCTTCCATTAGAAATGGTACTGATGGTAGATGATGGGTATACTGATGTTGACACTATTTACTCAAATGCTTATTGTTTTTATTAATAAAGTAATTTGTGAATTATGATTCTTCAGTTTTAAATAAAGAAAATAAAACAAATGGAGCAGCCATTTTGAAATCATCTGTGGTGCTATCCACATTTTCTTGAGTTTCTACATTGGGAAAATTTGCTTGGAGTTCATTCAGATTATAGTAGAATGTCAATTCTACTAAAAAATTGACATACTATAGTAGTTTTAATCTGTTCATTTAATACACAGATATTGATCTGCAAAATGTGTGGTTGGATTTAACTGTGAAGCTCTTCTGTTCTCAATATTTGTTCCACGTTGTAGAAAATAAACCTTCTATGTGTTAATATGTGGACTCTTTTTCGTTAGTCTGCTCCAACTGTGATTATTATCAACTAATTAGTTGTTTAGTTTTGCAGATGTTTAAAAATAGAGAGTAAACATTTAGACACTTCCATAGGACTAATTTTTGATCTGTGGGATATTAATGGTTATATTTTTTTTGTTTGTTTGTTTTGTTTTTGGTTTTTCGAGACAGGGTTTCTCTGTGGCTTTGGAGCCTGTCCTGGAACTAGCTCTGTAGACCAGGATGGTCTCGAACTCACAGAGATCCGCCTGTCTCTGCCTCCCGAGTGCTGGGATTAAAGGCGTGCGCCACCATCGCCCGGCTTAATGGTTATATTTTACATAACTTTAAAGTTCATTATTCTAAATTCATTCGATTATATTTTGTAAAAGTATCATCTACAATGGATTGGGGAAAAAAACCAGAAGGCTGGTTCTTTTACTCGGAAAATGTTAAAAGTAGTATCCTGGGTTAGTGTAAAACTGTACCGTTAAGTGATCTTCAGGTACTATCTAAAAGTTTCTATTTAGAGAGATGAAAGCAGAACTCCCATGAGATATAAAAATATAAGTAGCTGTGTGCTCAACCATAGTGAATGAATGTAAGGTGCATATAGCATATCATAGATTTTGCTGCTATGTAATTGTTACATAGCTGATATGGAATAAAATGCTTCCAGATATACTTGTCAAAGAGGAGGCATGACAGTTATTTAACAGCTCTTGCATTGGCAATTTTCTGTAAACTAACGTATTTATTTAGGTATGTTTCCAATTTAAGTGACACTGCTTGATCCAGATGAATGAAGTGTGGTGCGGTGATGGCAGGCTTGGGTAGAGAAAACAAGTATCTGTTAATTTAAAAAGAAAACAGTCCCAATTTTCTCCCCGGCAATTTTGTCTACTTCCCTTAGCCAAGAGGATAACTATATGTTTTTCCTTGGGTTCCCCTTCTTACTTAGCTTCTTTAGATTCACCTATTGTAGACTCCGTGACCCTTATTTATGGCTAGAAACCAATTATGGGTGAGTACATCCCATGTTCATCTTTTTGGGTCTGGGATACCTCACTCAGGATAGTGTTTTCTATTTCCATCCATTTGCATGCAAAATTCGAGAAGTCATTGTTTTTTACCGCAGCGTAGTACTCTAATGTGTAGATATTCCATTCTTTCTTCGACTGTGACTGAAAAAGCATGGGATAAAACTGGACTCTCTGAACATGGCGAACAATGAGGGCTGATGAGATGCAAAGGACAATGGCACGGGGTTTTGATCCTACGTAATGTGATGGCTTTGTGGGAGCCTAGCCAGTTTGGATGTTCACCTTCCTAGATATGGACGGAGGGGGGAGGTCCTAGGTCTTACCACAGGGCAGAAAACACTGACTGCTCTTTGGACTGGAGAGGGAGGGGGAAAGGAGTGGGGGGAGGGGGAGAAGGGTGGGAGGAGGGGGAGGGAAATGGGAGGCTGGGAGGAGGTGGAAACTTGTTTTTTTTTCTCCTTTTTTCAATAAAAAAAAGAAGCACAAAAAAAAGAAAGAAAAAAGAAAACAGTCTTTCCTAGTGGGTATCCCCTCTCTTTATTAATATACATGTGGTAGGGTGTTCGGGGGTTGCAGAGGACAACTTGCAGTAATTAGTTCTCTCTTCAGCATGTGGGTTCCAGGGACCAAACTCAAATATTGAAAGCAACCCCTGTTACCTGCTCTTTCAACTCAGCAGCCCATAATTCCTACAAACTGTATCCATATCTATTTTTATAATTAAAGTGCTGTATATCCTAGCTTTTATGGATCATCATTTGAGTTTAAAGAAATATTATTTAAGCTCATTTGGTAAACTTACACTGTATTTTCCACATTTTTTATTGAGATATTTTGTCATCATTTTTTTTTACCTCGCAGGTATGCATTGCCTTTGATTATTCTTTGTTATAAAATAAAATACCTAACAACCTCTAAAACATTAATATTTATGGTGGTAGCATTTCTTTGGTTTTTTTATTAAGGCAATGCAATCTTAAAATGAAATTTCTGCCTCAAATCTCTATTTCATTTTGTTATTAATTTCTTGAGCCACAAACTTCTCTAAGTCCAGGAAAATGCTAAATACTTATAAAATTTTCCTTTTTAAACTAGTAAATATACAGAGTTTGAGTTGTTGAATTAAGGGGGATGTAAACAAATATACATTAGCTAAATATACATTATAGCATAGCTACATATTTACCTATTTTATAACAAAACGTAAGGGAAAATGTATAATTAGTGTGCAGGGATAAAGAATGCCTTCAACTTTAGAGGGAATAGTAGTGGGGTTCTAGGAAAGGATTTGAAAGGGAAGCAATGAGGGGGTAAACCTGATCCAAACACATTATATACATGTGAAAATTGTAGACAATACTTAACAACTTATAAAAGGAGTTTCCCCCAAGGAGCATACCAATTGTCTATTCAATATCAGATGGTCAGACCTGAAAACATTTGTACAAGGAACATCATATGAACTGAGGTTATATTTTAAAAAGAAATGTGTGTGTGTGTGTGTGTGTGTGTGTGTGCGCGCGCGCGCGCGCACGCGGGTAACAATAAGAAAAGAAGCCATGAATTTAAGAGAGCAAGGTGGGGTATATAGGAGTGTTTGGATGGAGGAAAGGGAAAGTAGAATTGATGTAATTGTATTATAATCTCAAATAAATGAAAAGTGAATGATTTTATTCCATCTCTTATGTTTTTGAGACATGCATTCTTTTATTATCTTCTGTCAACTATTATAGTTTCTAATTCTTCTCTATGTGACTTAGTACAGTTTGAACAACCTTACCAAACAAATGATGTAATAAGAGCCAGAGGTTAGGGAGGATTACTATGAAACAGTATTTTCTGGATTTGATAAGTCCGGTCCACTTATAAACTCATAGGAATTATGGTTGTCAGTATCAGACTTGCACAGTATCGAGCCAATAAAAATTCCACATGGATATGTTTGAGGTGGGTGAGTTTTGTTTAATAAGTTGCTTATATTCTCATAGTTGGCCCTAAACCCATGCACGTGCTAGAAACACTAATTGAATTAAGTTCAATATAAAAAGAGAACATGACATTGGGAGATAAGATGGGAGTGATATTTATTGTGGAACGCATAGTGGGTGAATATAATCAGAATTCATTGTATGAAATTCACAGGAATATATAAGAAAATATATTTAAAGTGATAAACTGGTTTGAACTGAAATTCACTTAAATATATTTCTTCTGTTAGGTTTTTCTTGTTAGAAAGAAGACCGGTCCTGATGCTGGGCAGCTCTATGCAATGAAGGTGTTAAGAAAAGCTTGCTTAAAAGGTATCAAATTAAAAAGTTTAATTAGAATATAATTTGGCAAAACTTGTTTTATGAAATGCACCATATGTTGCTTGTAAAGGGAATGCTTAGAGTTGCTTTTTTTTTTTTTTTTTTTTTGGTTTTTCAAGACAGTGTTTCTCTGTGGCTTTGGAGCCTGTCTTGGAACTAGTAGAGTTGCTTTTTAGCATTGTTAATTATTACAGTTTCCTTGTTATCAACTGATACTTCTGGGGACCTCTGTTGTCATATAACTTAATTTTCTGAATGTGTATCTGAATAAAAGTTTAATAGCAGAAAATGGGACATATTTCATTTAATTCAGTCTAAACTTCAGCGTTTTAAAAATCTTAGTTTTTTCTTTCAACTTTTTTTTTTAATGTTTTGTCTTGGTGGTGCACATTTAGAAAGCACAACTACTCCATACATTTATATGCACTGTCTTCTAGACTTATAAAATTAATGCAGATCCTGACATGATAACACAAACCTGTAATCCTAGCTCTACAGAGGTGGAGTTCAAAATCATCCTCCACTGTATAACATATTCAAGACCAGCATGGACTTCCTGAAACCCAGTGAAAGAGAAAAAGGCGGGCGAGGGGGTGTCAGGGTAGAAGATGAAGTTTACTACTAATTTCAATTTTATTTCACATGAAAACTTAAATACATATTAGCCAAATATGCTACTTTAGATCTCTAGATCTAAACAAAATCTTCTGGTTTCTGAAAATGGTTATTATAATCTAGGACTACACAGACTTTATTGCATTGGTTACTTATGAAATTATTTATGTATTTATATTTTAGTTAGTAAATGGCAGGTCTTTACTGAAATTATGAACGAGTATAATATTTCAATCTTTGTATAATTTTAGTTCGAGACCGTGTTCGCACAAAGATGGAGAGGGATATTCTGGTGGAAGTAAATCATCCATTTATCGTCAAACTACACTATGGTATGCAACCTTTTTTTAAATTATGGAATTAGAGTAGTACAATTATTTTCCGATAGTATAACAAGAAATCAAGAAATAAATACTTTAAAGTTAATTAATGTATTCTGCAATATAAAATATGAAACATGTTATCAATATCTAGCTTTTAGTTGAATTTTATTTTCTTAAGTTGATATACTCAATTATGTTACATGATAATGTCTTCCAAAATCTCATCAAGTATCACAGAGGAGGTCATGAAGTCTCACCCCAAATTGAACTATTGGCAGTTGATGGCTATGGGTAAAGAGTCAGCGTTCTTCAGCTATGCAGTATCAAAGACACTACCCATGTTTCAGTAGATGACTCTATACGCATGCACATACTGGCTGAACTCTTAAAAATGAACATGTGAAATTGGGAGACAGTAGTATTGGGTGGCTATGAGAGGAAGTGGAGAGAAGAAAATGGGCATAAGTTTGTGTATATGTATATATGAAAACACATTTTACACACACACACACACACACACACACACACACACACACATAAATTCCCATGCAATGAAAAATGAAAATGTCTTCAACTTGTTTGACCAGTAGTATTTTTAGATGAGATGAGACAGTACCTCCATGATCATAGACTACTATGATAATTTATGTAAATCATTTTGATGTTTACTTACAAGGACAATATTATTTTTATTTTCCAGTTCTTATTAAGGCTGTGTGGTTATATATTAGGTAGTTTGAACTGTTTTGTAATACAATCGAGGAGCTGAGAGTAGTAAGAAATAGCAGAAATAATGGAAGGATAAGTTTTGGAATCAGACATTTATGAATTTCAGTCATGTCTCCTTTGTTAATATATGAAAGAGATTGTAGATATGATTTTCTTGGGGATCAAAATAAAACTTTAGTTTGATGTAGTTTATGATACCATTTCATTTTGTGCATTTAAAATGTAGCACATATTGATTTTATTCTTAGGGCAGTTTTTGAGAGAACTCATTTTAAATATTTAACAAGATAATTCAAACCTTATAAGAAATTCTGACCACTTTAACTCTTTTTTTAAATGTAATAGAATAAAAACGGCAATACTATAGAATGTCTTTGAGTCTTTTACTTACCATGAGATTAATAGTAAACCCTTATTGTGCCAAAATACTGTATTATATGAAGTGGGCTACTGAAATAATCCCTAATTTCTAGTAATATACAGGGAATTAAGCTGTACAAATGAAAGTGAAAAAATGCAAAAGAGGCATGAAGTACAATTAAATATGAAAAGTATTAATATAATTTTGATGGAGATTAAAGATGCTATAGGGAAGTGTGCAACGGTTTAGAGGAGGTGACTTCTTTGAGCTTTGTAGAATGCAATAGATATGATTGGGTGACAAATTTCAGACAACTGTACCAGAACAAGAAACTTCATTAACAGCAAAATTTTAGTAATAGATTTTGTAAAGCCACATGTAACACTGAACATGTTCTGTAAAGGAATTTATAGCAATTTGAACACTCAATTAAATAGTGGATTTAATTTTGATATTATCTAACAATAGACCATTTAAATATATAATTATTTTATAATGTTGATAAATTGTAAACATGTTAATATAAAAGTCTGGTAAAATTTTCAGTCTTTAAGGTTAGTCTGCTACAACATTATTATTTCTAATTAGCCTTTCAGACTGAGGGAAAGCTGTATTTAATCTTGGATTTCCTCAGAGGAGGAGATGTCTTCACAAGATTATCCAAAGAGGTGAGAATTTCTTTACGAATTTGTTAATAGATTTTATTCTAACAAAGATAAAAAGTCCTATAATTTTTCTATATAAATTTGAAATCATAAGCTTTTTATCACTCTATATAGTATTTAGTGATATGTCAGATAATACTTTCTATGTGTGCTTTTAGATGATCTCAGTGTTCTTTTTATTCTTCTCTGAGATGATAGGGCATTATGAATAACTGAGTGAACTAGATAGGAGCAAGTCTAGGACTTTGGTTACTCGAGCTACCTAAATGCCTCTTGTGTGGTGTTTAGTTTATTCAGAAGTTGATTTATTGAGGTATAATTGACATACAATAAATAGTACAACAAATTTGATATCTTTTGCCTTTTCATGTAAATGTGAAATCATTATTAAAATAACGTTATTACCAAAGGGGCTTATGTGTTTTTTCCACCCTACATCTACTGAATCTGCTGTCTGTCACTGTTTGTGTTTTCTAAGAGATTATAGAAACAAGATCATATTACACACACACACACACACACACACACACACACACACATATTCTTTTTATCTTGTTTAAATCATTATAATTATTTTGGTTTATCCATGTTGTATGTGTTAGCTCATTCACTTTTTTGGTGAGTAGTACCCATTTAATGGATGTACCATGTTTTGTTTATTTACTTGATGAATGTTTGTGTTATTGCAGTTTTTGGATATTACCAGTTAAGCTGCTGTAAACATTCATGTACAAATGATTGTATTGACATAATGTTTTCATTTCTCATGAATAAATATCTAGGAGTTTGATAGCTGGGTCACATGGTAGGTGTTTTTTAACTTTAAAGTCACTGCCAAACTGTTTTCCAAAGTGCTTGTATAATTTTTACACTCCAAACAGCAGCATACAAGAATTTCAGTTGCTTCACATCCTTGCCAACAGTTGGTATGATCAGTCTTTTTTTTTCTTTTAAAACATTTTGAACGTCTGTTAATTATATAGTATTACCTAATTGTGGTTATCAATTTCATCACCTTAAATACTAAAGATGTTGGGCATCTTTTCCGACATTTATTTGCTGTCTATCTTCTTTGATAAAATGTTTAAACATTTTCCCATTTTCAAGTTAATTATTTGTTTTCTTCTGGAGGTTCCTAGTTTACATGTATGCTACATGTATGCTATTTTAAAATATTTTCTTCTGGTTTTTAGGTTGTTTTTTTTTTAATCTCATATCTTTTGAAAGCAGAATTTCTTCATTTTGGTGAAGTCTGGTTTGTAATTTGCCCATTAAATTAATGTTTTTTAATTACCCCACTTAAGAAATGTTTATCTAATTCTAGGTAAAAATTTTTCCTGTGTATTTTAGAGTATTCTGTAGTTTATATTTGTATCCTTAATATTTTTTCAATGAATTACCTTGTAATTTCATTTAAAATCAGATTTTCATATGTGTGAAGGCCTATCTCTGGATACTATGTTCTGTTCAGTGACTTATTTTTCTGTCTTCATGACCATACTCCTCTGTCTTGATTAACTGAATCTTTATAGTATATCTTGAAGTCAGTGATTACAATCCATGAGGTTTGCTTTTCTTTTGCAAATTTTTTAGGCTCTTGTAGGTCATTTGCATTTCTTTATTTTAAAGTCACCCTTTCACTTTCTTATAAGAAAGCCTACTTAGATTTTTGGTTGGTATTTTCATTCAGCCTGTAATTCAGTTTGCACAAAATGGACATTAAAAAATACTGACTTTTCTATAAACATGTTTTTTTTTTTCTGCTCCAAATCATGCCTAATTTCAGGAATGATTATTTTCAGCATATAGGTCTTGCACATCTTTTGTCAGATTTATCTTTTAGTGCATTCTGTTTTAATGATGCAAGAATTGTTCTTTTAATTTTAGTATCACTGGGAAAAACAATAGAGTTTTTCCTATATTGAGCTTGAATCTCACAATCTAGCAGAATTAACATATATTAGCTGCTTTTTGTGTAGATTCAAAAAAAATGTTATACTAATTACTTTTGGGAAGGTGCTTTACTTCTTTCCGCTTTGGATATCATGTATTTCTTTATTCATAACCTTGTTAGCACTGGCTTGAATTTCATTCTGATGTTGAATAAATTTGATGGGAAACAGACATTCTTGTCTTAATAATTCAAAACAGATTGAAACTAATTTCACTTTAAAACTTAAACCTGTATGTGAACTTTATTAGCTTGAGTTACTATCTCTTATTAAGTTGTGAAGAAGTGTTGCAATAGATGATACATATTGTCACATGCATTTAATGGAGACTTTTTTTCTGCTTAATTTCTGATATGTTCAATTAAATGAAACACATTAATGTGAAATTAAATGAAAGTGAAGTGGTAACCTAACCTTGCATTTGTGAAGGAATACCCCATAGACATCAAGTATAATTATTTTAAAATATTATTGGATGATATGTGCTAAATGTTTGTGTTTATTTTCGTTTTAATTTTTTCCCTTCTGTTTTTATTGTATGTGTATGGGTGTTTTTTCCTGAATGTATGTCTGGGCAACACAATCAGGTAGTGCCAATAAAGGCTGGAAGAAGGTTTCAGTTTCCTCTGGACCTGTAGTTACAGATGGTTGTGAACTGCCCCGGGGATGCTGGGAACTGAACATGACCCTTGAAAGAGCAGCCCAGTGTTCTTAACTGCTCAGCCATCCCTCTATTCCTGCAATTATTTTCATAAGGAATATTTATTTTCTTGTTTTGTGTTTTCTTCATTCGTTTGTTGTGTCAAGGTAATTCTTGATTCCTAAGTTGAATAGATATATTTCAACTTTCAGTAGAACTTATTTAGATTCAATATTAATTGTTTTAATGATTGGTAGAATTTATGTGTGAAGGCAACTTGGCCTGGTAAGGTGTTTGACTAAAAGAAGTTCTTTTTAGTAAGGTGTTTAAACAAAAAGTCAATTTATATAATATATTTAAGATTATTGTTTCTTTTTGATGAAGTTTGTCTACTACCTTATTTCTTTCAATGCATGTATTAGTTCCATCAAATTTGTAGCTCTAGGTTTTATGCTCTTTATTTTGTTGTTGCCCTTGTATTAAAATGCCATGACCAAGAGGAACTTCTAGTAGGAAGAGGTTTTTTTGTTTGTTTGTTTGTTTAGCTTGCAGTTCCAGAGCAAGAGGCCATAATCTCAGGGGAGACATGACAGCAGGGTAGAAAGCTAATGGATTTTATCTCACTACCACTTAAGAAGCAGGCAGAATGATTTGGAAGTGGAACAAGACTGTAAATGCTCAAAGTCTACCCTCAGTGATATACTTTGTTCAGCAATATTTCTTGTCCTAAATGGTTCATAACCTCTTCAAACGGTGCCAACAGCTGGATACTCAGTGACAAATACACGAGCCTGTATGAGACATTTCTCATTCAAGCCACCACAACTGTTCATTATATTCCATTATTATCTTTTCTCATAGGTGTAGAATCCTTATTTATGGATGAATCGCAATCCTGATGGTGGTAGTTTGTCTTTTCTTCCTTGGCATTGCTAGTGGTTTATCGGTTTTATTTTTCTTTTTATGATACAAGCTTTTCACTTTATTGATTTTTTTGTTATATTTCTATTTTTCTTTTTTAATCTTTATTACTATTTTCTAGTTACTAGCTTTTTCTAGTTTCTAGATAGAAGCAGATTACTGATCTGATGCCTTTCTTCTTTTCTAATGCAATCATTTAGTGTACAAATTCTTGAAGTACCGTTTTAACTTTGTTCCTGTTATTTTGCAATGTGGCACATTTGCTTTGTTTAATGTACTTCCTAGTTTCCTTTATATGACTCATTGCTTATTTGAGAACATGTTATTTAATTTATACATATTTATTTATTTTTCCAGATATCTTTCTAATATTGATTTATAACCCAATATTACTGTAGTCATAGAGGCTACTTTTCATGACCTGAATCTTCTTAAATTGTTTATATTTATTACATTCTTTAGAACATGATATATGTTTGTCAATGTTCCATGTGCATATAAGGAAAATGTGTACTCTCTTGTGGGCTGGTGGAAGGGTCATCAAATGGGTGTTAGATCAGGTTTGTTAATAGTGGTTGCTTTAGCAATCATGAATTTGTTCAATTATTATACTGGTTTTTATATTTTGTAAACACATGAAATTTTTTTATTATAGTTATAGATCTGTATATTTATTGCCTTTCTACCAGAGTTTAAAAAGAACTTTTTAATGGTGTATTCTTTCTTGATAAGGAAATGGTGTCACTATTAAATGACTTACTTTAATGCATTAATACTAGTTTTATGACTCTTAAGATAGCAATATTAGCTCAGTATACCTTCTTCTGTGTCTTCATTTTAAACTAATTATTCTTTTACATGTAGCAATTAAGTACATATGACATCCTTGACTTTTATCCACTTTGAAAATATGTTATTTTTAAAGTATTGTATTAGACTTATTGTATTTAATATGTAATTTTATATTTAAATCTACCATTTTATTAGATTGTAAGTACCATTTATTCCTGGTATATTTTCCTCTTTCATGGATGCATTTTAATTTCATTTTTTAGTTCTACCGCTAGCTTGGCAGTATTAACTAACCTTTTGTTATTTTGTAGTTTTATTAGGTTTTATAATGTGAATATTTAAGTTGGGATCAATGATATACAGTCTTTAAACCAGTTGCTTTTCTTTTTTGTTTTAAAAAATAATTCATTTATTATTTTATGTACATTGGTGTTTTGCCTCTGTCTATATGAGTGTGTCAGATCTTGGGTGTTACAGTTAGGTGTGAGCTGCCATGTACATGCTGGGAATTTAACCTGGGTCCTGTGGGAGAACAGTAAGTACTCTTAACCATGAGTTATCTCTCTAGCCCTCAGTTACTTTTTATAGGTTTTATAGAAACAAAGACACACACATTTAAGTATTTCCTGTGACTTCTTTCATAGCTCAGTGACAACATACAAAGTTTTTTCCTTCCTTCCTTCCTTCCTTCCTTCCTT